GTGAACTTCAGTTGGTCACGTGATTCAATGTGATATGCGTCATTTTGGTACATGCAAGAACATGAACGTCATTGTGAGATTTTGGATTATAATTCAAGCGGTCCAGAACAAGTATAATCCAAAATCAGGAAAGAGTGCTGGATAATTCCAGTTATATTTGTCACTGTAATTGTGCGTTCATATTTTATCCAAGTCTAGTATTGCCTATTGTGAAATTATGTCATGCCAAAGATTCGGTTCTCGAAAACAGTCTTGATGAGTTTCATATTCAGGTGGATAAATACCAGTTGGCAACGTCACATAATATATAATCCATGTTCCAGGCAAAACCAGATGTAGTTGAGACTACGTCAAACGTTGGCACGTGCCACATCTATAATTGCTATTACCTTAATCGGATATTCTTCATGACACTCCTCAATACATGTAAACATAAATACATGCACAGTCATTGTCACGATCGCATTCTAAATATGTTATTTCCATGCCGACTATGATTAAATACAGATGTACAAATGACTAACATAATACGCCTGAAACGTGTCGAAGGTTATATCATCCCTCAACATGAGGTACAGTCGCAAACTTGTTTTTTGATGAAAGTGTTTGTTTTTTATCGTTCTCGGGTCTCGATGTCGTCATTTCTGATTTCGCCCTTGCACGAAAAGCATCATTATTATACAATGTTTGGTGTAAAATGGCAGATATACATCCACAAACCTCCAAATAAAAGGGCGTATTGCCCAAAGCTCTATTAACAACATATACATTTATGACAAAAAATGTTAATACTGATGCAATAAACAGCAGTTTACCGGGTCCTTTTTAATGACGCCGCGACCAATGTTGTCATTTTCGTCGTCTGATTGAAAACTTAGCTTAACAGCAATAAATAGATGAATAAATAACTTACGGTTACATTTTGCAATCACATAACTCAAAATACAGGACAAAAACAATGATTAGGTAGTTACTACTAAATTCTAAGGCTTATGTTAAAGCATGCCCATTTGTTGGCTTGTAGCCGATGGTTACTTATGATAAATGAATGAATAACTTGTATTTGTTGGTAAACGTTATATCTCAGCTGTGGTTTCTATCATGGAATTGTGTTACTACATTGTCGTAGTAATTGTTTTAGAACACCATCTAAAGAAGGATTATCAATTAAAAAATAATAATTGGATGATAATCGGTCTTTGCCTTGTATGAAGGTTATGTAATGTAATTACCCAATGTTCGTGTCTCGACAAAGGGGACGATTGCCTCGAATTTTAATATTTTTTACTGACCGCTCCGTCATCATTATTTAACTGTTCATAAATCATTCTCAGTCATTCACATCCGAGAAGCATCTGTTTGATTGTATTAAATGCCAAAGACCACACTGTCGCCATTACTTACCTGAAGAGCTATGTGAAGGGTGAAAGCAGCTAGTTTTTTAGTCGGTCGTTAATCTTATTTTTTCTATATTTACTTCCTTCACATGGACATGTAATCCCTTTTTATTATATATATATCTATATATCTATATATAACATGTATTTGAAAGGGTGATACACAAGGATCTCATCTGTTTTTCATCAATTGCATAAAACAATAAATGTTAATTTAACGAGGTGAAACGTATAGGATCTTACAATAGTTTCCATTTCATGAAACGAGTCTAAGAATTTTTCAATTTAGCGAGCCTCTGGCGAGCTAAAATGAAAAATCCGCGACGAGTTTCATAGATTTTGTATGAAATGAAAACGAGTGTAAGATCCTTTTTATCACAAAATCAAGATTTGTGGCATTTATTCGTGTAAATAGCAATTTTCATGCAACATTGAAATGTTAAAAAACGCCATTTTGGTTCCAGTGTGAAAGTATGTGACGTCATGTACTTGTCCTAGGCGTGACGTCACAATTTCAAAGAATTGAAACTTATAACCAAACACACGGCTAGAAGGTCATACCACATGGGTTAATATTCACTGGATAACGCAATACATTGTGTGATAACAAAACATGTTTGCATCTGAAATGTCTAAAACTGGTTGTGGTGGCACACAAAGATCATCCAATTCTCAACAAAACACGGATGTATAAAAAGAATCCTTTCATTGTGATTATATATCGAGTTTCAAAAACGTGTCGCTGAGACAATTGAAGAACCCACAAAAATGCTACATTTTGTCGTCATACATGTATGGCTGTAATATGACGCGACTTAACATCTCCTTGATCGTAAGTACGCCTATTTGTGTTATTCACGTACCTCAACACGGGGATTCGTGTTGCATTTCCGAACCAGAAACAAAGCATGTCATCAAAACAAGGAGTAAAAGACGTAATAGTACGTTCTAAAAAAAAGCGAATTATTATTATTATTATTTTCATAAATAACATTTCTGTTTGAAACATTTGACAGGACCCTTTTAAATATCAACAGTCCATTTACAGCTGTATATTGCAGTGCATTTCCCTTTTGATATACTTGATATATTACCAAATTTCATATTCTTATGATAACGTCAGCGATCTCTTTTGAGCGGTGGTGCCGTTCAAAAATACATAATTAATTCATTCACTAATTTCAAATTCTAATTCATTTGAGATGTAATACGGCATTTGATTAGTCAATCAAAATAATTTGCGACTGTTGAACAACGATAAAGCTTTCGCAAATTTTACATTTGCATATAAAGCCCGGATGGCGATTGTTAATGACGTCGATGACCCAGGCTGACCCTGACACGTTAGGAAATTGATATGTATGCCGTCACGAACGATAGCGTGATCCCGAGAGGTCAACGTATTTCCGCCTCACTTTGAATATTTCTGACGTCACCAATTCAGAGCGGAGAGACTCATAATTTGAAGAAAACACTAAAATATATCTTAAAATCGCCGTTTATATCGGTGGTTTTGAGTTATATGAATAAGAATTACGCATCGCCAGTGAAACTCAATTCGCGACAGTTTAATCACGATTTACCGCTGCAATTGTCGAAAAACGGTAGGGTTATCCCCTAATTAACCAGTACTTTTTTAAGTTTGGAAATTTGCATAAATTAGGGATTTACCGAGCTTCCACTTCTGTTTAAACAGCAGTTTAACCATTTGAATGTTAACCTTATTGACCTGTATTATTACCGATGAGACCTGGACTGACGAACGTGCTGTATGGTGCAGTGTTGTTCATTTTTGCATGCCGTTTATGTTACCATATTTTAATGATTCGATCATATATATCAGTTTCTAACGTTCATCTGACAACAGTTGCCATTCAGATTTTATGGTTTAGCAAACCTTTACATCATATCGAAATTGTTTGTATTTGAAATATTACTAGAAATATAGAAAAAGCTTAGGTGTAACCACAACTATAATTTCAACTGAAAATCGATTAACCTAGGATAGATTATAAACAAATTAACTCTCACATATACGTTTAACTGAAACTGTTTTACTGTCTCCCCAATACCTATATCACTATCGCCTCTAAGAGGCAGCCCATTACTAAGACCTCCGCCACTGAGAGGAGTCTTAATCACTATCGTCAAGCTAGGGTTCTATATCACTATCACCCACAAACAAGACGCCCATTAAGACCACTGCAACCAATAGGACCCTAGAGTACTACCCCCCATAAATATTACTAAGTACGCCGCCACTTAGAAGTATGGTCGATGCGACAACAATCGAGAGCACTGAGTGTACCGAGGGCTCAGAAATAAGACTCTAAGAAGGAGCTTAGCTCAACATTATGTTTTTATGACCAGCCGAAAGTAGGGAAGCGGTCGTAATAAAAGTACGACAGGACAATGTACATACCGACAAGTTCCAGAATGGACCGGATCGGGTTGTTTTTACCACGGGGTGATCTATAACACCGTCCCCCGTAACAAGCGGACAATACCTAAAACCTACGCCACTTAAAAATACCCATAACACTATTGCCCACAGTCGTCTGCTGGATAACCGAACTGCTTGGTAGTGAAGCGGACGTAAAACCTATCAAGCAATCAATTGCCCACAAACCAGCAACCGCCTAATAAGACCACCGTCACTGAAAGGGACCTATATCAATAATGGCCACAAACTAGCAACCGCCTACCAAGACCACCGTCACTGAGTGGGACCTATATCACTATTGCCCATCAAATAAGCACCATAATGCTTTATTTAGACTAATTCCTCGTTACTATTCAGACCTGTCAACATAATCAAACGGTTAACTTTATTATTTACGAGAGAAGTCATTGTGAGCCCTAGTCAATAATTTGAGCAAATTAAAATTAACTTAATAAGCCCAACACACCGCACAACCTTTTGAAAGCAAAGTTATCGATAAAAATATATAATACGTTCCCATAGGCTATAATTCGCAGGAGCAGATTTGTATTTCATTGTATAAAGCGACTTTTTCCGGATACAGACATCCCATTACATACTATTTCTGATATTCATTACGGAGTACCTCTAAGTTCAATATGAAATTGAAAGGTAGCTTGTTTTTATTGTTTTGCGGTTTTTTTGTCGTATTTTTCTCTGCATAAAGAATACTCGTGAATTGGTTAAGACATAAAAAGATGATTATAATTGAGATATGTAAAGGGAATTATGATCTGTTATTATAATTCCAAATGTCTTACTCATTTTTTGTAGTTTCAATGTTTACCATAAACTACAGATAGGCGCTTTTGACACCTTTGTCTCTGTCTCTATTTTGACTGTAGTGCTTAACTTATTAAGAAGCTTTTTTCTGATTTTGTTTTTGGTTACATGTATTCCTTAATTTAAAAACGCTTCTTCATATATCTCTATTTTTATGTTGGATTTTAATATCTTTTCCTTTGTCTAGATCTCTCCTCGGTTCCTGTTGATGCTCATATCGGTTTCGATTACGAATGTTTTTATGTTTTATTTTGTCATTTGTACTATAAGCAGTATTTATTCAAGTCCCTGCTGTTATACCAACTTTGCCAAAAAAGACATAAATGCAAATATTTTGTTCAAAAATAATTTAAATATCAAAACAATGAGCATTCAGATTTTCCTTTTTTGAATTTACAACTTCGTGTTATACTTAATGTCAACATATATCCAACAGTCTGCAACAATAGAACATACATATGTAATCAGTCGACGATTACTTTGAATTTGCTATAACATTTCAAAGAAAAGTTCAATATATATTTCAGGTGGTTTCTTGCAGTAGTAGACCAATCGTGATTAAGTCGTAGCCCAATAATTCCTCAAAAACATGGGACTTGAATGTATGTAAGTCGAACATAGAGAAGTAAATAATTGCGATCTTCTCTTGATCATAACCCCACATTGTTAGTTGTCCTCCTTGTCTTTGAAAAATCCTTGAGACGCTTGCAGGACATCTTTGAACATTCTTTCTGTGTGTTTAGTGATAGTAGCAACGTCTTTCTTTAGAGTGTCTAACTTACTGATGTTAGCGATGCACGCCTTCATGGCTGCAGGACCCTCCGCTGAATTTAAATCAGATTTCATAATATCCTTCTTCATCTCGTGTGCGTCGCTCGTAAGACACTCAATCGTTGTCTTCACCTGGGGAGCACGATCCAGTATTTTCTTCATAAGTTTATTCATACTATTGAAAAGGTCTAATACCGGAATAACCTGTTGATAATCCACAGTGCACGTGCGTAAAATCTCCTCAGATTTAAATTCAATTTGAATACAGTTTTTCATCTTCCTATCTACCACCAGCTCGGCATCACCTTAAACAAACGAGATGAATAACGGTATGAACAGCAGAAAGTAAAATTGTGGAGTTTGCAGTTTTTGCGGAGAACTTAATTTTGCTTAATTCACGGTCACCAAATTAGCGTCAAATGTATAACTCAGCGAATACATATACCATGAATAAACAGAAAATACTTTTGTTTACCTCTTTACTGTCGAATAATGGAAATAAATCCCAAACAATGTACAATGTACAAGTATAGTAGCTTTAGTTGTATTACTAACTGTTCAATTATCATTTTATCTCTTTTTTATTATTTTCAAAATATAGCATGCTTTTAAAAAACAATCCGGAGGCCATATGAAAACAGTGAAAATAATTTAATTGCATTTGAACGTAATCAATATCTCAGTGCTTTATTGTTTCCGTATTAATTGTCAAATCGGTGAATATTATAATTTCCTTATTTTTTATTCAATGCACTATTTCACTCACCGCATCTGCCCACAAGGATAACCACACACTTTTGGAGTTCAGGTATGCCTTCTGTTTCTGCAGCAAAATAACCCTTAAAACTTTCCATGTCTTGTTTTACGGTTTTGAAACACGTCAGTAGGTCGTCGTATAGCTTCGCCTGGTCCTTTAAATATTAAACAAGCAACATGACTACAATTGAAACCTACGAATCATTATAAATTTGTTGCTACAAATCCGGAAACTTACATTTGTAATTCTTTTCTATTTTATAATGATAATATCCTGATCAATACGGTTCGTATTAGCCTAGCTTCTATTCTAAGAGTAGTTAAAATTGTCTGGATTTCCAGCTTTTTGGCCCCTCGCATCGCCGATGAGTCTTAGAAGGACGAAACAGATATGTTACAGTGTTATTCATTCTTGGCAAGCTGTATATATATCCAATTTTAAAAGTGCAATCACCTCTGTATGTGTGTGTGTGTGTCCATCTTATAATTGTTCAAACGATTTCAAAATATAACACAATGCATCTGTAGAGGTTTGGGTGAACCCCTCTTCAACAATAAAAACGTTTAGTGTACCTGAAATGTTTTGTTCAACTTTGATAAAGCCACAGTTTTCATATCAGCCGGCCGTAACACGTCGACGGAAGTCGCTAAAAGAGACAAAACAAAATACACATTCATTTAAAGGTGATGACGTAGTCGTAAGTAGATAAAATACAAAGACAATAATATAAGCACACAATAAGAACCAAAAGTCGACACTGAAGAACCTCAGCAAAAAACAAAGTTTCGGAAGCTTCAGAAGCGTCAGCGTTTCAGGTCCAATTGCCATAACTCCTACATACCAAACAGCTATGCTGATCTAGTTTACATTCGGTGTAAATTAAACCCATTTTTAGATTGGACGTTTTAAAGTTCTTTAATGAAGTGTATATTGATTTATCTCCACAGACTCCAAGTTTAATAACACTTCAATGTAAAGGCATAGTCAATCAAACTTTCCATTGATTTTACTGAAAAGGTTCATCTAGCAGGAATGTATGGTATATTTGCAAGATTCATCGAGTCACTACTATATCAAAATATTGTTTTCCATTGATTTGTTTTATATCCTTCTACATGCTCTCTATTTTCCTTTGATTAAGTGTACAGCAAACTCGCTGTTCTTTTGTATTGATTTAGTGTAATGCAGTTTCTATCTGGTTTCCATTGATTTTGTGCAAAGTCATTCTCTATTAACTTTTTCTTCTCGTTCTGTTTCTCTGTGTAGAATCACTTTTGCATTTCTATCAGTTTTAATGTTCGATTTGATAGTACTTTTGTGTTTTGTAATTCCTCGTATAACCATTAGAGAACCCGTCCAGCTCTCTGTCAATTGAACGACATGCCTTACGAGTCAAACCAATATCGTAATCCCCATTGATGCTATCTGTACATAAACTCGAGTCATTTACAATCTAACCCATCCAGCGGCTTTAAAAAACCTTGAAAACCGGTAACAAAAATGTTGTCTTCGTTCTGTAAGTAAACTAATTTAAATTTAATATGGAATTATAACAATTGCTTTTGAGGGTTAATTTCTTTTTTCAATCAAGCTGAATCGCCAGTTTATGTGGATTCAAATTAATTGCTGTTGACGTTGAAGCGGCAGACAGCGGGACCGGTCGATGCTTCCATCTCTAGAGGTCAACTTTGTTAAACAGTTGATCATGCAAAGCTGATATGCATCACGTGACTGAAAAACAACTAAACGGGGAACAATAGAACGCTTCTCACACTACTTGTCACCGGAATGTTACGCTTCAGCGCAATCTCCCGGGTTTTCACCCGAGTATCATAGGTGTTACATTTGTTCTCAAACACTCACAATTATACATCAGAATCTCTCAACGTATCATTGAAAACTTTAAACGTCTAATGTCAAATTTAATATCAGGTTTCGTGGAACGTCGATCAATTGACATGGAATATATATAAAATATCTTGTTTTAATTAGTCGCCAGGAAAAAAATGTATTTTTAAAACTTCTGTTCACAGATATATTATATAGACATTGGTTTTCTGCAAAATGTTTTACATGCACATGATAACTGTTTCAGTAGACTTTCGGTATTTGATCCGTCATATGACATTGTGAAAAAGTGACGATATTTTTGTTCTTGAAAAGTTCATTATAAATCTACGCGCATTCGTCATTAAAGAGTTACATCTTTTCTTGTATCTTCATAGTACCCAACATTTACATAATAATCATTCTCCTCAATAATACATTCTGTAATAACGTATCACTTTTCGTTTGCATGGCCGTTTACGTTAGTATCCAGTAATACCATATCTGACTCTCTTTCATTAAACAATTAACATGTTTCAGTTATTTCGCTACTATAGACCATTTTCTAAATATCACGATTTTCTGAATATACTTTGTAGGAGGAGGTTCTACGCAACAGGTTTCAATAAACATTAATGCAATACCCTGTAAACGTGAATATGGTGCTTTACACTAATGTGAAACCATTTACTTGTTTAATCATTTTTTCTGACCTTGATTCACGTGCAGCTGAAGTTGTAAACCTATGATGAAAATATATGATCTGCTGCCAGTGTAACCTTTGATCCCTTCACCTATTGTCCTTTGAACATGACCGTCGTAAATCAATTGGAGGTCGAAATACAACCATCATTTAAGCCTGACGTTAAATCTCGCGAGAGAGCATTGAACCTGAATTTGACGAACGACATGTCAGTCCGACGTAATGTCATGTGCAATCATCTACGGCTGTGCTAGCATCTTGAAATACGTCAATGCAAATTGTTTAGATTTCAATTTGGTTTTTTTATGAATATTACTGAGGAACAGATTTGTTTTTTTCTAATAAACAACAATAATGTACTGTGCTTGCTGCCTTATCATCCTTTTGATAAATTTTGTTTTCATTTAACAAGACATTTCAAATAACTAACATCATATTAACAACATTGCTTAAAGGCATCATTTATCTTTTTTGTTTGTGTTTGTAAATATATATATTTTAATTATTAGGAAAATATCTGGTCACGTTTTAGCGACATTCGGTGCCGGAGTTTGTATGCATGCTATTCTTCGTCGCCCAGTCCAGATAAAAAAAAATATCCGAGAGATGCGTGCTTAATGGTAGTTAGAAATGATATAATTATACACTGTTACACGCAATGGTATACACTTACAGGTTTTCTCTAAAACCATATTGAAATATGTTTACATGTTTATATAATTTCGAATCGAGGAAAAATGCATGGAACACGCTGATTAACCCTTATTTCCAACTTTCTTTGATAGCGTATGTCCCCTTATATGTGATGGGTTTGCAACCGAATAATGTTGAGTTGAAATGAGTCTTGAGGACGGTTCTGATTACATGTAGGAAATTGTTATTTACGTGTGCTTACGTTTTTTATATATCAAATCAATCTGATTCAATATTCCAAGCAAATCTCAATAATAATGGCGATATGTTATCACAAAACTTTATTCAAAGAGATATTTTGTTTCATGTAACACAATACTCTCGTTTGTCCGATGTGATTTAAGCAATCAATGCTTAAAACTAAAGTAAATTTTGGGAGTATTTTTCTCGTAATCTATAAGAAGAATAACATTAATAAACTGTAAGATTTTTTCACTTTTTAATTGTTTTAGAACTATAGAAGACGTATTTTATCTGTGGTACATATTAAATTTAACGCCTATCGTAGGAATATGAACCTTTTTATCAAACATTAATAACAAGGTGAACGGTGTCTCATTGCTATAAGTATCTTTATAAGTTAGAGTTTTCACTGTATAGGAATTATTGAGTGTTTTATTCCAAATTATTGTATAAATCTATGAAAGTGGACTTTGTATTTCCTTGTAAATGTTACATCAATCACGACAGCGCGCGTGTACACGTAAATAGTCAATGATATAGACGGTAACATTGATGGGTAAATCGCTCACAACCATTGTTACGCTATCATATTAAATTAAACGTCACATCATTTCTGACGCCAACCCCCTTCACAACAACATGTTGTAGCTTACTAGCAGTTATAGTAAAAGGTTCGATGGACAAAGAAGCACTCCCAAAATGGTTCACACCGGAAAAATGAACCCTGACCTTTTAGTAAATGATTATTGAACGAGTAAAACATATTTCGTAACCTAGTTGACGCGCCAACTTTCAGCGGTCGGAGTACTTCTGTCTTGATTGTATGCTGTTGAACGTCCTTACAACATCCATTTTGAGATGAAGACGGATGAGTCGGGCAGATGCGGGGTGCGGACGCGGGGGCACATTTGTCGCTTCTAATGATAACATGCAAAGGTATATTGCAGGCATATGATTTACCCGAACCTTCCTAGCGTTAACATGTTAAAACATCAACCATATTTATTGTTCAGCCATTTATCAATGTATACCAACCACGATTGCCATCGCACAACGTTCGTCCATCGTCCGCACAAATGTGTGCAAGCAACAACCGTCCAGATTTTTATTGTTCGCACATCGTGCACACACCTTGCACAAACCGTGCGCACACCGCACACCGGTAACGTTGTGCGATTTCACAAATGCAATTGTATATTATTCTCTCATTACCTTTCTGGTATGGAAATACAAGTATTTCTTTCCTCGATCTATCTATCAGCGAAATAAGATTATTGGGTTTTCGATTCGTTCTGTTTGTCTGATTCAATCAAATGGAACTCCAACGAAATGCATTCTATTCATTTTTATGAGTCCCCGAATGCGAGAAATAAGACCGCGGAAACTCGAACGTGAGAGACACGGGGCACTCTATTTCAGCGTCATGAAATTGTGATAATCCAATCAGCTACGCTGATATATAGGTTAGGGTAAGCAGAATCGTATATACAATTGATGCCATCTACTAATAGTGTATCAAGGTGATAATGTTATTGGAGATTAGGAGAAAAAGTAATTCGTTTGATAATCAATTTCTGTTAATCAAACCTATTATATCAATCATGGGGTCGTTCACGTACCTATTGAACCCTTTCGAACAACCTTACTGCGCGCGTCGGAACTCATGTCGATAGATAACCATTGTATAGCTACTTCACAAATATCTAATACTACATGCTTGAAGGCATTGTCATCTTCAAGCTAAAATAGAAGTTGAATTTAACGCACATTTTCTCGCTATCGATTTTATTGTCGTTTTTTACATGACCACATTTATCAAGAGTTCCGACGCGCGCGGTAAGGTTGTTCGAAAGGTATATTGCAATGCCATCAGCTGGAAACAATTATAAACATGTACAATGTAACAAAATATCACAGAACTCATTGTCAGTAATCTGCATCAATCATGTTTCTGAACGATATGTTTCCATCTTAAAACCGGGTAACCTTTACAGCAATAGCAACGATAGAAAATGCAATTATCCAGTCTATCAATTAAACTGCAAAGCTGAAGTCAGAATATGATCGGATTAGTGATAATGGCATGGCGGCAATCATGATATTTTGCTGACTTTATGTATTAGCAACAAGCGAGATAAACTATACAATTTAACATTAACGTGAGAAGTCCATTGAGTTCTTTTATGTATAGAATATACAACAACATTTGATATAGCGCCATATCTAGCTAACATAATCCACTCTAAACCGCTTTACAGAACATATATATCCAAGTAATACAATGACCGTTAACATTAAGCAATACAATTTTGAGGAATTCGCAGGAGCTGCCTTACTGGCGCTAACCACTAGTCCTATGCCAACTGGCTAATATCCCCCTGTGTGTGTATGCCTGTGTGTGTGCTAGAGATGTATTGTGTTCTGTTTGTAGATGGACCGTGCTTCCAATGGTATCATTTATAGTGCCTCATCACTTGAATGCTACAGCACAAATACCGCAACATCCATCGAAGACCAATTTATACTCCACCTTGGTTGTTGGAGTTATGTGGGCAGGAGAAAAACACTAACCAATATGCTGACTGTATACATTGTATATATTTGTACTGAAAAGCGCTTTAGATTGGCTTAGTCTAGCTAGATATGGCGCTATATCAAATGTTATATATCTTTTTATTTAATTATTTAATGCTAATCATTGCCTAGTCTGTAGGTATTCATTACAATAATAGAATTCAACCCTCTGCAAACTTAAAAAAGGAGTAGGAAGAAAATCGTATTAATTAATGTTTATGTTGTTTGTCTATGTACTGTAAAGCGCTTTAGAGTGGCCTATTTTAGGCTATTTTTTCCAATTGGAATTATACGGGCGTGTACCGTCGTTTGAACTTGCACTTTCTCAATTTTTATATCATGTGTTTTGTAGATTATACACAAAGGAGAGGCCTATCATAGACACATATTTTTGCAAGTAAGAGACAAATGTTCAAGTGACCTTCAAGGATCGAATCAATCTTTGTTTGTAGTTTTGGGTCATCAACTGTCTGTTTTCAAAAAAAAAAAAAGCTATGTTTTTATTTTGAATAGTAATTATAAAATTCGATCAAACAATCACTACTGTTACAATAATGGAATTCAACCCTGTGCAAACTTAAAAAAAGGAGTAGGAAGAATCATTATTCATTTTTTTTTTTTTTAAAGAACTATAAAGCTTTTCCCAATTTATAGCAGGAAATATCTAGATATGAAAGTTGTTTACGTCATATCCTTGCACCCCAAACGGGATCCAAAATAAAATTTGTATTCCTCATTTTCCTCGAAAGAAATAAGGTCATGGAAAGTCGGTTACCTTGATAAATATCGTGAGAAATAAAGAAAAGTCAGAAATGTAGAAAAAGTGATGGACATCCAAAGGATCAAAATTGGAAAGCAGATCAACTACTGAGTCTTCAACACGCAGAAGGTACAAAAGGCGACCGAATCTGCAACGGTAGAGGCGATATGCACATATGCAGAAGCTTGCACCATGTTTGTTTTCCCAAGTATGCACAAGAGGAAAATATCGGGTCCTAAATGAAAATGACAAAAATAACATGTTTGCCATGTTATGTTTATTGAGTTCGCCTCGACTTCATTTGACTGAAATAATCCTGAAATAACGATTCATACTAATTTGCCAAGACTTGTTGTCCTACAGAATTATAAATGTCATTTGTAAAACAAAAAATGATAAGAATACAAGCTAATCATGATTAAGGTAGGAATAAAAAATAAGAAGACGAACTGTTAACCTGTCATTATTGACACTGCTTTTCTTTTCGTAATTGCAATAGTAAATTTTGCAAAGGTTTATCTGTTTGTGTCTTATCAGCCCTAATTGACAACACTTTATCATCGTTCATATTTTTATCGTCATCCACATACACCTCCTTTTATCACATTTAGCCAATTTTAGTCACATAATTCTTTAACAGTTCCTCAATCATTTCATCTCACATAACACAAAATATCTTGATTTGTGTCCTCTTAGCAACCCTTGTTTGATTAATTCAGTATCAAAAACAACGAAACAGTAAGTACAAGTAACCGTATATGTTTTCAGTGATGACATTTAGCTCCTTTTGTTTGACACTTTTTTAACATAAAATAAAAACACATAAAAATTTAAGACTTCATGTGGGTTTTTTATCATATATGTAAGCAGTATTTACGAAACGCTTTATACTGTAAGTAGATGTAGGTTAGTACGTACTGAACTCCACGGCCTGTGAATGTTGATCCCCATATTTATGTCTAGCCGACGATGGTGGCGCTCGATCCTCATGGTGATCTGACTCGTCCTGTAACAGCCTCGTTTTCGGAGTTGGACCGTCCTGTCAATGTGACAAAACTTCACAATTAAATTTCAGTCTCAGACTGTACAAATTTTAACTTTGATATATATATATATATATATTGTTATAAACAAGTCTCAAAATAAAAACAAATGCTTCAATTATTAAAGGAAAAATAGTTCGGTCAAGATTTTTAGAAAATATATCAAATGAGGAATTGTAAATTGAATAGAAAACTATTTTAGTATAATCATGTTTCGAATGAAATTGTACCATTCCAAACTGAAAAGCCGTTAATCTGGTATATGTTGGTTTTGTTTTGCCTTATTATATGACGTTAATTGACGTTATATCTTGTTTGAATGTCGTTGGGTTTTTTTTACGTCCTTTTTATTGTGTTAAATGATGGCCACTATTTCAGCTTAAGCTACAGACCCTTATGCTTGAATTCCATAAATGCTGTTTCATTATGCTTTACACTTTGAAGTGTATATCAAAACTTCATCTGCATCCTATATTGTATAAGTCATTTTGGGATTGACAATAACTTATGTCATACAATGTACCTCACTTATGTTACATTGTCTCGAATTTGTTCAGACGCACCCTATGACCCCTCAGACAAATCATTGCGTCCCACGGTACCGTATGCCCGTAGACTATAAATCATCTGGTGTATCACGCCATCGCGTGCCCTTTTGGGAAACCTCTCGTCAATTCTTGCAGGATTAATCACTTATTACATAAACAACACAGACAGATGACTGGAGGTCTAATTCTATGTAATATGTAATGTTTGTTTTTTTCCCCGTTCGTTTTACCTCATTGTTGATACTGTATTATTAAAACATAAGAAAGACTTGAAATGTTTTTGTCTGTGATGGACGTTATATTACGTATAATTACCAGTTCTGGGTGGTAGTAAGGTGATACTGTATTATTAAAACATAAGAAAGACTCAAAATGTTTTTGTCTGTGATAGACGGTATATTACGTATAATTGCCGGTTCTGGGTGGTAATAAGGTGATACTGTATGAAAGTGTATCTTTGTTAACGTTCACAGTTTGATTCCCCAAGACTTAACTATGACTGCTGAAGGTTAACAAACATATAGATGTGTTCTGCCGTCATAGCCTGAGCTTCTTTGGTATACTCGTTAATAGATATATAGATAAACATGTACAGCAGCAATGGTTCGAAACAAAATATATCATAACATGTTTTAAGAAGTCAAAAACAAAAACGTACTTCAGCACCATACATCATGTACGCATATGATAATACAAGAATGCATATAAAAACAACAGCGCTTTTAAATTTTGTAATATCCAGACGTCTTCCTAAACCCTGCTCCAATTGTGTTACAGGGCTCTCTTCCAAACTAACCCCTTAATCGTCGCATCACGCCTTTACAAGCTGCCTGCTGCAGCATAAAATTTGAACCCCTTCATCACAGATTAGTTCATTCTGATTACTGTCCTGTAATGAATTGCGATGATAAGACTCATTAATAAATATATAGGATCTATAGGATTTTTTTTTATACACAAAAAACACTCGAGTGGCATTGAAAACAGAAACTTTTTATTTAGTATCAATATGCAAATGGCAAACACATTATTCCTAATTTGGGTGTTAGTGTTTTTATCTATACGAAGCAGAATTTGGGCTGAGGGAAAAAGTGGTTTCTTTCTTTTAAGGTTTATGACAATTGCCAAATACAAATGTAGATATATCGATCTGTATGTGAAATAGGATGTATCCTGCCTACACAATCTTTGTACAATGAATGGATATGCTCATTTAAGGCCAATTTTAATTGATTCATAAAAGAAATCAATATCAAAATTTGGAAAATTGTAAAAAAAAATCACAAATTGAAAAAGAACAGAGCAGAGTTTTGAATAATGATTTCTTGAAGAAGAAAGGAGGTAATTGATTTAAACACCTTTGTTATAATCCAAAATATAAACTTTGTGTGTAAGATAATTCATACAAATATTAAGACTCGGAACTTATTGGTTTAAGTCATTTAAGAAAAATACTGAATACTCCCATTTCTTTGTTTTATTTTTAGATATCAAAACAATAATCCTTAACAAGTCGACTGGTTATGGTAACATTCTTCAATCATCATTACCGATTTGAAGACAAACTCGTCAGGATAAAAAAAATACTTCTACAGCGTATTGTAAGAAACAATATGATCAGTTCAGCAACAAACCTATGGTATTTGTTTCATGTTCACTATGTAGAATAACAAAATTTGACTATATTTGGAATGTTAAAAAACATTCTGCATGAAGGTAAATGATCAGGCGAATTACTGAAATATTCATTGGTAAATGAAACGGTATAGCTATGTAGATAAATATAAACCTAAACAATTAAAACAGATACATCTATTATGAATGAGTATAGATATATAAAAATCCTGAGAAAGAAAATTAATCCCATTGGTGCCAAAACACTACAGAAACGCACATCCCATTTTGTCTAACTTTGACTACAACTTTATCTCGACTTGACCACGAAGTTCATATTTTAAGGGCGATTGTCACGAGTTCAGCGGTCCAGGTCATTCATGGCAAAATCTGAAAGATTTTATATTTTTCCCCGAAATAATTTACAGCAAAAATGTCCCCAATCCGTAATAACAACTGTTGTTCTTGACAGTGGTACGGATATCCGTAAGCGCACACATAGATGCGATGTGTAAAAGGTTATTTAAGCCAAGCTCTAGTCCTGAGCACCAAAAAAATCAAAATTGTATCAACATGTATCGCTCATCTGTTTTTTATATTTAAGTCATTACAACTGAATCCATTAATACATCTTTATATGAAATTTCCTCAAAACCAAACAAGATCTATGTTCTAACTCAACTGGGACCACAATATCTGACATTCAACTAATCAGGGGCCTCCAATGAGTTGCCATGTTAACAGATTTTGAACACAAGTAACACCAAAAAGGTACAAATAACCCCACAAAGGTACATATAACCCCACAAAGGAGGTACATATAACCCCACAAAGGTACATATAACCCCACAAAGGTACATGTAACACCAAAAAGGTACATGTAACACCAAAAAGGTACATGTAACACCACATCGGTACATGTAACACCACATCGGTACATGTAACACCACATCGGTACATGTAACACCACAAAGGTGCATATAACACCACATCGGTACATGTAACACAACAAAGGTGCATGTAACAACTATAAGACTAAAAGTTTCTCTAAACGTTAAAACTTCGTATCTCTTTGTTTGCAACTACATTACGTAATGATAAGATGCCGTGTGGTACGTTCTTTTTCCCTGTAGAAGAGAACTACACAAAAAAAAATTTTCAAATTATCTGAAAAAGTTTGTAAACTCTTCTGATAAAGCAGATTTCAAACTTTACAAACGACAAACTGGGTTTTCATTACTTTTATCCACACCACAACTCGCCATATATTTTCAAAATTACTGTAATTTAAAACAAACGACCGTCTCATCCTGCGTCACTTTTGGTAATGACACTTTATATCCAATATAAATTTAGTAATTACAGTGTATTAGCAAACGTTATGTTACATTAGAGTCTTTATTTTCATAGCATTACAAAGATCAATGCTCAGGAAACATGTTATTGCTTTATTTAGGCAGTTTCATGTTTAAGTCGAATTTCGTTTTCAAGATGCAAATACAAAAGGAAAGATATATCTAGGTGTAGCCAGGTGTTCAAATGCATCATTCAAATCATGGCGCGCAATGCAAGTGTGAGCGAGCACGTTCAACACGGACTGCCCATCCACATTCAAGCCACCACCGTCTCCCTTTCTCACTCTGTCTTTACCTCCCGACAATTACCCAATGAACCGTCGAGGGCTAGATCGAGCCATTCCTTACTCTGGAAGCCACCGGTAAATAGTATATAAGTTTGTAGATTTGATATTATTTACTGTTTAATATCATAAGCATGCATCATATTTTATCTTCGCTATATCCATTATTTCATTTTGTGAGCGGTGTGTGGGTGATAACGTTTGTGTATTTATTTCGGAGGATTTTTTGTCAACGACATCGAAACACATCATTTACACTGGAATCAAGTTGTTCTACTTATCACAGTAAACCTCGCTACATAGTTAATATTCAATATTTATATTTCAAAACCGGTTCATCACAAATACATAATTTATACTAGAATCAAGTTGTTCTATTCATCATTAGAACCTTTGCTACATAGTTAATATTCAATATTTATAATTCAAAACCTATTCATCTCAAATATATTTCTTGCAAGAGATAAACAAGGTTCCATCATTCTGTACTTTACGACCAGATATACTCCGTACCAATTGTGCTGGTACGCCCAATGATCCCAAAACTGACAGGCAATTATAGACAGACAGTAACATCTTACAGAAACAAAATGTAAAGTTATAAATAAATATCTAAGACGTCCATGCCTCTCTTACAACGATTGATGACAAAAACGCATATATAACTAAACATACTTCTTAGCTGGAAGTTCGTGACCTGTCGGTTGGGAGATTGGACAGGAATGGTCATCCGTCAATGCCTCAGACGGGGTTGGTTAATCCGTCGGGTGCGTAATTACAATCAGCCGGTTATCGGCGTCCCTATACTTTCTATCAAAGCATTCATAGCAGCTTGTTCTTTAGGAGAAGCACTGGACACGATGACACATCCAAAGGTTCCATTAATCTGTACTTTACGACCAGATATACTCCGTACCGATTGTGCTGGTACGCCCAATGATCCCGAAACTGACAGGCAATTATAGACAGACAGTAACATCATAGAGAAACAAAGTGAAACGTTATAAATAAATATCTAAGACGTTTTATACTAATAGATCCTAAACAGAATGAATCGTTAGAATGAAAGACTGACATAAATGCAAAGTCAAACAGTACAATAGTGAAACATCTCCAGTGCATTTAAGATCAACTTGTCGAAAAGCAGTTGAGAAGAGATGGGTTTTAAAAGATGTCATCAAAGCAATTAACGATT